CTCACCAATTTCAGTTAAATCTCCACCAGCTAGTATCTTCAAGTCTGGTGTTAAAGCACAGGCTTCAATAATTTGATCATATTTTCCTTTAACAAAAGGTGCATCAAATAAAATGTTGTCTCGGACTGTTGCATTTTGAATCCAAGATGATTGAGGCACATAAGCCAATTTACCATAAACATTCACAAAGCCATGTTGCTTGTGTAAGTCACCCAGAAGAGCGGATAATAAAGTAGATTTGCCAGACCCGACAATACCAACAACAGCAACCAATTTCTTCTTTTCAACTTCTAGGTTTATATTTTTAAGTGTTGGCTCTTCATCAGGAGACCAGGAAAAGGTTGCGTTCTTAACTTTTATTGGTGTGGAAGAATCAGGATCGTGACGAATAGATTCAAGGTCAAGTTCATCTCCAGCGAGAAACTTATTAACTCTTTTGAGGGCAACCAAAAACTGTGTAATGAATAGGAAATAAATTAATAACGCTGATATATTGATATTTGTAATTGAAATTCTGATAATATAATACTTCAACACTTACACTTGCTCCATAAGTTAAAACCATAGGAAGAAAGCCTAGCGGCATAGTGAGAAGATTTATCAATGAAATTGTTACAAAGGCTTTATTTGCGTCAAGGACGTGACTTTTGTCAATTAGTACATAAGTTGTAAAGGAAATGACGGTGATCTAGTGATAAAGATAAAAGAACGATTCATTAGGTTCATTTTGAGTTTGGATTTTATACTTACCAGAAAAGGTACCGATCCAAAAGCAATCGTGATTCCTCCCATCCAAATTGCTTGAGATTTCAAATATTTGATTTCATTACGTCTTATTGCTGCAATTATATCACCAAAAGCTTCTTCCCATGCATATAACTTCAAGACTTTCATACCACTCAAAACTTCAGAGATTATTTTTGATCGAGAATCTTTTTCTTTCATCAAAGCGATTTGACATTTTCGGTATTGAGCTGTAATAAAACCGTTGAGAGGAATAACCAATAATACAACCGATATGCCTATGATTGCTGAAACACCTAACTGCCTCCATAACAAGTAAATTGTGACTCCCAATTGTAGTGGTGCTGACCAAAGAACGTTAACAACATTAGTGTAGTCAATGACACGTTGAGCATCAACAGCCATTATATTGACAATTTCACCAGTTGTATAATCACGTTTTCCAAGATTCGAAAGCTTGATAGTCTGTAAATTATTAATAAAACAAAAAACAAAATAAATCACTAAAAATGCTACGAAAAAAACAAGAATTGTAAAACCTTTTTATAAATTGTGGCTGCGAGTGCTGATCTCAATCGTATCGACGTTGTTTGTGTCCAAAACTCAGATTGTGAGTCGAGGATTGATTGTGTAAGTGATGAAACAAACATAGCAATTGCGATAATATAACCTTTCCATACTGGTTGATCAGAGACGACAAATGACAGTAAAGCATCCAATAGTTGTGGACTAGCAAAAACCAGTAGACTTGAAAAAAGCTTGCATACGGCACCAAGAAGTAGAGTTGGCCAAAAAGATTTTAACAAAATCTTCAAAATGTTCACTTGATTCTTCTTCTGACCATCTCGATTGAGTTTTGCTTCAACAGCAGTGATTTTGTTCTCAGTAGCTAACGATGTATTTTCCCCACTCAAGTTCCATATATCTGACTGTTGAAGAGTCTTACGGTAACCTCGAATTACCATCGAGTCAAACCATGTGAAAAATAATCTACCGATAAACGATGAACTCTCGTAAGGATATTCATTCTGTAAAAATTAAATTTGTATAGATAGTTCAATTAACATCAAGTGTTAGACCGATGATAAAGCATTCTATTTACCTCAATTTCTTTAGTGAATATTTCTCTTTTCGTATCAGGAAAACAACAAAGAAACAGTTGACAAAGTATACCAGAGGTTTGCAGTGATTTGTTGATGATATCAGTCTTGTCAAATGACCAGATGAATTCATCCTGTCGATTTCAAATATTGAGATAGTCAATTAATTAGCAAAATATATTTAGTTGAATTATTAACTAAATCTGAATACTTACATGATGGTTCAAAGTAACTATTAATGAATAAAAGTTGAATACAGAATAAATAGTCATAAGAAACCAATAAATGGTTAATGAGACTGAAGTGTGAACTCCTTTGAGTCGATGATACCAAATAAGCCATAATGCAAGAATCTATAAGAGACGGGTTTAGGTTAAGCATAAAAGATAATCAGAACAATATGAATGAGGATTAAACACTAATTATAAAAGAAGCATTAAAAGAGATTAATAATAACTAATAACATAACACCTGTTTGGCGTTTATCAAGTCTAGACACTTCAAGACAACTTACATATGTTGAGAGCTTAATAGATGGAGTTACATAAGCAGTTGGATAGACAACTTCATTATTTTTTATTTCAATCAAAGAATCAATCAATTCGTAAATGCTCGATATAATGAGGATTGAACCAATAATCTTGGAATTAATTAAAAAGAAAAGTAAAAATTGTGAAGATTAAATTAAAATCTTAAATCTTAACTGTAAGTTGTTTATACTCACTAATTTTGAAATAACTAGTAAAGTCCATGGCAATTTTTTGCATGAATCTTTTGATTTTAAAGATGAAACTGAAAATGGTATTGAAAGGTAAATGAAGAGTGAAGTGATCCAAAGTAAAAAGGTGTCACAGAAACAAGGTGAGATTACAAATAGTTCGGAGTTCCATTGTTCAATCAAATCCTGTTTAATTCATTAAAAAAATTATAGTTATTTAAAATAAAGCTGATTTGAATCAAATAAACAAGTAAACAAATAAATATTCACCCATGAATTGTAGCCACAATATCCTTCAAGCACCATATTGAAACTTAATTTAACTGAATTTACATGTCATAAGTTATAACTTTTGTGGCGTTAATCCTTCAACTGAAGCTTTTCAATATTTCTACTGAATATTAAAATCTTTTTCTAAACACCCAAATCTCACAGAAAAATTAACTAGATCAAATAAAACTGCATTCCAGTCGAAATAAGTACTCAAATTATCTCCCCTTTGGTGTTTATGCTCGTGAATTTTACCGAATGATAAGGAGTGCAGTCTTCAAACACTCGCAGTTGTGATTGTTTTTTAGCCAATATCATTGCTAATTACTGTTCTGCGTTTTAATGCACCCAACAGAAACTGATTAGATTCTCGTGAATCTCATTGTACTTGATGTTATCGCAATATTTCATCACTCTTGTCATCAAGTTTGCACTAATTTGGGTCAATAAAGTAACAGTTATTAATGAAGTTTTAAACGCTAAATAAAAATTCCTTTTGCTTAACCTTAAATAATTAAGGCAGATTATTTCATTTAAGATTAATTACTTAGGTGTTAACGCTTTAACCAATTATAAGCATAATTAATCTTTCAGAGCTATAAAATTAACAAAGGCAAAGCTTTCTGATTTGCAAGATGTGAATATATGGGTTCGTAGCGAGACGCAAACTGAGTTCGTTTGTTAGATTAGAAATTTTTCGGTCGGCGCTCAAACTTCGATCACTTTTCGAAGTTGGATTTTTTATCAAACTGATTTTCTAATGTTTCCTACGCTCTGTGAATTTTTATGAGGCAACACACAAAACAACTTGATAAATGCGAATTTTTTAATCAATTGTTTTTATCAATATGCTCAATCAATTGTAAAGTGTTTACATTTATAACTGCATCAGCATAAACTTTTACAGTAAAAAAAGCCTCCAAACTTTTCGAATGATCGAAGTCACAGCTCTGTTAAAAGAAGCAAAAAGCTCCTAGATCGTTTTTGTCGCAAAGGTCGTTTTTGTAGAGTGAAATTTGTTCAATTCGATATCGGTATTCATCGGTCATTTCTAGATTATTTGAGTATCTAGTTTTATTAATTTTAACACAATTCATCTGAGTAGAGTTGATTTCTCTCAAGAGTCGCTCTCAATCTCTTGACTCGTAACATATTCCACAATTTATTCTCATTCGTTTTCAAGTGTTGAGATACTCTTGATATTGATATAATTTCCGATATTGATTTCATTCATGGCTACTGTAAAAAATTAGGTTTACAACGTAAACACTTTTGTTACAACAAGTCGTTTGGAGATCAACATTGCGTTGACAAGTTGTTTTTTAAGGCAGAAATGTACAATATCTTGACTTCACTGCTTTAGAATGCTAATAAATACTCGCGGATATTGTTTCTCTAGTTGAAAGTTTCTATAAATCATTTAACCAACATGATAATATTAATAATTCTAACTACTAAGTATTAGTTAGTACATAATTGATTTTTAAAACTCGCAATTGCTTGTAATCATTGAATGCAATTGTTCACCTGTAATCCAAATCACTAGATGGAGCCACTCTCGTAACATTGATAATCATTCATTAAAAATTCATTATCGTTCCCAAATTAGTCTTTGATTGAGAAAAGCCAAAGTTGACTTGTTCAATTTGAAAGACACTTAAAATTGATGGCTTAAAATGAGGTGTAAAAGTTGAAAAATGATTGATTCAAGTAAATAACAATTTTAGTAATGATAACATCTAATGAATACAATAATAAGCAGCAAGTGTCTGAAACGAATGGAATCATGAAAAGTAGATTACAATTTGTCAAGAAGGTAAACAAAATGTTTCAGAGCTTCAGGCAATGAATACAAATAAAGAAGCCAAAAGTGAATTTCCTATAAATGATAAACCTTGAATTGTTCGTTATTCAACAAAAAAATTGAAAGAAATGGCGAAGCAAATGAAAAGCTCAGAATCATTGTGAGAATCAAAATGATGAAAGGTTTTATGAAAATTGGAGTAAAAAAAGCTCGAGCAATAGACTAAACTAACATATTAGTAACGAAAACCCAAAATGAAAAAATGAGTAAATAGAGAGAAAAGAAATGAGGAAAAAAAAGTTGATAAAACAATGGCAACATGGGAAAGAATGGCTAATGTTTTTATATAGATTCAGAGTTGAAAGTGAGACTTCTCAGTATTTGGTGAGTTGAGGGAGTAGACAAAGTTCATCATCATGATTCTCACCATTACCAACATGATGATGAGCTCATGTTAACAGCAAGAACAGGTTCAGGTCCGGGAGTTTCCACCAAAAAACTACTACAGTTACCTCACTCTCTGTGTCTCTCCTCTTAACCCCAATTGTATGAAACATTTGCAACAAGAAGAAAAAAAGTCGAATTTTCCTTTGTGAAGAGAAAAGGTTCATCTTTATCTTCATCACTTTTTGCCATCAAAAATTTTCGTGTAAAAGATGAAAGCTTCATCTTCATGATCATCCCCAATCATGTGATCTCAATCCATCATCATGTATGTTGAACAGCCCAGAAATGTCGATAATGTTATCTCTGAATCTTGAAGTAAACCAACTTGAACTTTTACATTTCTTGAAAAATTTTGGCAACTTTCCAAGTTTCCAGTCAAAATGAGTAAACTCGAAGATCCCAAAACCAGAAATCAACTCGACTAGCAAAGTTCAAACCTCAATTCGTAATCTGAGAGTAAAATTCAAGGAAATGATGATTACATTGGGTTGCTAATTAATCCATCTTTTTACCATTCCCATTGTGATTAACTAATTTTTACCCTTCAACTGTTAATTATCATTGAAGCTTAATTGTTTAATGTGTACATTTACAATGGATACAAATGTTTATTTTCATTTCAACATGTTTACCGTTTCCAGTTTCAATTTGTTAATCTTTACCATTTCATCTTATCCAACGAGTCGATAATGTTTCAATTGAACTCTGTGAATCTTGCAAGCTGGTTAAATCCAATTGTTGAAATTAGCTTTAAACCCTTTCAACCTTTTACACTTGTTACTTTGATAAATTTGAAATACTGGTAAACCCATTATGTCAACCAGTGAATCCAAGATAAACCCAGATGCTGTTGGTTGGAGTAAACCTGATTCTGGTTCACCGACATCTCAGGGAATCTCAACTGCGACAACCTCATCATCAACTAAGCCTACAATCAATTTAACAACATTGGATAAGATAAAAAGATTTTTCTTCTCCAAAGAAGAATGGGAAGCTTATTTGATCGAAAAATTGGAGGAACAAGAGAAGAAGAAAGGTTTGTTCTCATCTCTTTTTTTTCGTCTCTCCATCTTTTACCATCCATCCATTCCTATTTACCTTTCATCTTTGCAAGTTTACCCAAAAAAAGCAAGACAAATGTTTAATATTTTACTCACAATGGTTAAAAGCTGGAAAACCAACGTTTCTTTCACCATATTTATCTTATTCTTGGTCAATCCATCAATAACATTTTTTTTATTGCTGTTCACATCAAGTTTATTGACTTGATATTATTTACAAAGGTTCCACATTCAGACCAAATTAGAGTGAATTCAGTTGAACCTGATCGCTTTCCAAGATTCACTCTTTTCAATCATTTATTCATCATATCAGTTTGACCATTAACTTGATGACATTTTTTTCGTGTTTAGTGTCAGTTGAATCGTTATTGTTGACTAAAGGCAAATGGTTCAATAGGCTTAATCAAACAATCGTAATGATCGAGCATTTTGTGTTTCAATTAGAGAAAAGATGAAGAGAAAAAACTGAATTTCAATTTTTCTCTTTACTAACTGCGGGGCAAAAATGAAATTGGATCATGCCAATTGAAATGAAACATTGAGGAAATTTGAATAGCAATTGTAACCCGAGATAGTTTCAAGCTATTCATAGTTACATTGTTTTCAATAGCTCTTGTTGTAGAGGAAAAGCTGAGTAGCTTTCATTAGTTCAATGATAAACATGAAAATAATTACTAGAAAAAAAGCTAATGATTCAAATGAACTAGTGATTGATGGCATGGAAAGAATGGAAAAAATTGTCAGCTTTCTTGTTCTTTCTTTTTTTGTTGTTTGCTGATAGTTTAAAGGTAAGCAACAATTAATGATTCATGAAGATGAAGATGTGCAAATGAATGGAAACTAGGATTTAGTCATGATAATGGTGAAGAGGAGGTGCTAAAGGTGAGCGTGAATAAGCGTAACGAACACAAAATTTTATCATTACTTTGCCAATTTGAATAAGCATTAGACGACAACTTGATAATGACATTGGTTGTTTTAAATTGCTGGCTCAAGATTTTGAGTGTGTTTAGCTTTCAGTTCATGAATATTCAGTCCTAGTAAAGTCATGCAATTTTTCATCGCCTGCTAGGATCAAAGTTCATTTTTTTAAACATAAATCTGATTGGTTTTTGATAATTTTATTTACGAAAAACTTGAGCGATGAACTAATCTTGAATCTAGATTTTTTCGGTACAGTTTTCACATAAGATGGACGAGATCCCTTCTCATTGTAATTCAATTATTGAATAAAACCAAGCATTCGAAACTCATCCACGATTATCGAAAACTCCTTCCGAAAATCTTAATGAAACCATTCGAGCAAGTTAGTTTCAGATTTTCAAGACGAGCAAAAGCCATGTGAAAAACAGCAAAAACTGATTACAATTAGTTTACAGATTGAATAATGATTGATAGTGAATGCAGTTTCAATGTTAAATTGGGCAAGTAAAGCTTAGCAAAAGCAATAACCATGCTAATAGCGTTGAAATGGATCGATGATTTGAACGGAAAAAGGCAAATTTTTAAAAACAAGAAAAGTCTTTTTTTGCTGATTCCTCAAAGGGAACATAAAAAGTGAATGGAAGATTTTTTTGAGGTGAAAATGTCCAAAGAGTTGATGATCAAGGATAAATAAAATGATTGAAGACACTTGCTGTCAAACATTGAATTTTGGTTCCAATTTTTTGCATCTAATTCTCGTTATCATGTTTAGGGTGGAATAGTTTTTTTTAATAATTTTTTGCTTTTCTAAAAGTTTTTTCATTCTCTTCATTTTCTCATTCCGTTTATAATATTGTTCATTATGTAATATTTTGATGGGAAAATGAGGTAAACTCTTGTTGTAACACGAATGGCAAAGATGGATTGGAGATTCAGGAGGGCTCAAACTTGTACTCAGAGAAAGGTAATCATGATAAACAGAATGGATTAAAGTATCAGGATCAGCATGGGTTCATTTTTTTCCTTCTTATCTCAATATTATATTAGATGAGTGAATGTAATTTTGTTTGTGCCAGCGAAAAGTTTCTACTTTGATTTAGTTGAAGCTCATAGAATCATGTTTAACTGCCAATCAACTTTGATCACATATTAAATTGATTATGTGATAGATGGATTAGTCGTGTTAACTAAATTCATTTTTTTCCATGTAAGATCAGCCATTATTTTCCTTTTCCCAATTCATCCAATTTTATATTGTACTTTTCATTGGAGAAATAAATTTCACTTTTTTGTCAATTTTCATCCTCTGATAGTCTTGCTCAAGTTTGCGTGAAAAGGCTTGCCTGATGTCACGCGTCGATATTTCATTGAAACTTCAATGTTTTTAGTTGTAAAGTTGATCTTTGATTTTGATTAAACATTTCGTGATTTCTTCTTTTTAATGAACAGTTAACGCTAGACACAAAGTAAAGCTCTGTTGATTTGAAGCTCATTTGATGTTTTTTGTCCTCTTATTGTTACTGAAATGTCATTTGTCAACATTGTAATACAATGTAGTTGAAGTAAAATGTTTTACAAGAGCATCTGAATTGTAAATGAAGAGTTCATATTTGCAATTCTAACTCTGATTGTCTTATAAACTCTGCTTGTAACTAGAGAATGACTTTTGTTTCATTTGTGGGTTTAGTCACAAAGAGACAAATTTGGTTAACCAGGGATTCGAGTGTTGATTTAGCTATTGGATACAAACTAACTGGTTAGATTAAATAACTTGCAATTGTTGGTCTTTCCTCCAACAATACGTGCCTTGATATTCATTTTTGCAAGTTTCTTGACTCTTCTTGAATCTCAACTAGCACATCTTGATACATTTTTGGCATGCATTGAAACGGCCTTTGCAAGGCAATTATTTTATGTTGAGCGTTAATATTATGTTGTTATTTTCTTGATGATAATGATTGACCATTTTTATAATTGTTGGTGTTTCTATTCTAGATAGTCATTTAGATTGGCGAAGTAGATTAAAGTTAATAGACTTGACCATTATAATAGGAAAGCACTGAGGTTCGTTGGGAAGAGCTCATTTAGCTAATATCTTTGGTTCAACTTGGGTTAACCTTTGAATGCAAACTAACTTAAAGACAAGTTAATGATGAAAAATCCTTTTCCATTACTTATTGTGTTCATTGAGCTTTGGACAGCATTTGAGTAAAGATTGTTTACTTTGCCATTAAACACACACACAATCCATTGTAATTAGAAATGATTGCCTTGAGAGTTTAATTTCACCAGATTAACAAATCACTGAATCAATTTGCAAAGCAATAACCAGAAAGAACCAGTAAACAAAAGAAGAGACCAACAACTAAAAGTAATGAAAATTTTGAATGAAAGCAGATTGTTGGTCAAATGAGAATCAAAATTTTGTCCCTTTACTTCAATTCAACTTGACATCTTAATCTTTGACCAAATCAGATCTTGTCAACGGCCATCAAAAGACTAACAACAAACATGAATTATTCACAATTGCCACTTCAGTTACAGTCGTCACAAGAATCGAGTCAATCAATAATCTTATAGAATAATGTTTGTTCATTTCAACTGATGTTGATTTTATGGAGAGAGAGAGAAACAAAAATGTCAAATATGAAACTTACAATGAAAACAGACAAGATTAATAGTTAATATTAGTTAATAGTTGATGGCAATAATAGTTAATTTCATTGTTGGCCTCATCTCATTGTCTGTGCATTAAATTGCACTTTTCAACCTCAATTGAAATGCAAAGTAAAAATATATTAGAAATGAACTTTATTACCTTTCTTCTTCTCTTTTCCCAGGTAAATGCAATAAAAGCAACAACGAAATTGTATTTACCTGAACCTGTAATTTTTTATACTAAAAAGTTATTCCTTTTGACGATAAATTTCAGTGAAAGTCATGGTTAGTGGTTTGATAGTGAAATGAGAAGACTCGTAAAGCAGCGAAAAAAGTCATGTCAATGACAATAACGAGAATTTGCTTTTCCATTCGAGTTTAAATCGATTCCATGATCAAACCTTTCTGAGTCTATTGCATGTTCATCAACACTGAGTTTGTGTTATTACCACATACGTTTGTAAGGGTTACAATACATGCGGGGGAAGATACAAATGAGGGGAAAAGATTGGTTGCATACTCTCACAACCTCAATTCCCATGAAAATTTGTTATCAAAGTTAATCTATCAAATAAATCAGAGCAAAGCCTAGCAAAGCTTAATCAGATATTTCATTATTTTCCGTTAAATAACCAACTATCCATTAAATGAACTTTTTTTTACAAAAACCATTATTCTTTTTCTCATTACTTTGTCTCTTTACCTCTAAACTGTGAATCAAAAAGCTCAGCAAAAACTTGTGAAAAAGCTTCATTTTATTGATTCTTATCTGGTTCAATGAAAAATAATTTTCCAACAAAAAATTTCACCTTTTCTCTCAAAACTAAATCGAGCTTAAAAATATCATTGCAGAGTAAATTCATCAAATTGAATTCAACATTTCATTAATACTAACAAGTCGACTAAATAGGAAAAGTAAAATTTGGTGTTTACTCAGTTTACTACGGAATTTACAGTGAAAATGTAAATGAATTTTCATGTAAAAATATTATTCTAATCATGATTCAGTGAAATTGTTTCTAGCAAAACAATGAATCAAATTGCCTGTAAAGTTGATAAAGGTTGCAAGAAAAGAATATTAAAATTCATTAAAATCTGTCAACAAAGTAATCTTTCAAGTCTTTAGTTAACATCAATTTACTTTACAATTGTTGTTGAACTTTCTGCTGATGAAAATTGATTGTTCAATTTACTGAAAACTCAATTTCTTTTCTTTACTTTTATTGATTGATTTGATGTAATTACATTGATTATTGTTGCTAAATTTTTTCCACTTTTTTTCCTTCTTTCAACTTTCCAAATTGTTTCATAAATATTTAAACAAAATTGAGCTTTTACGCTGATTCCATGTTGGGTTCAAATTGATATTGCACGATGAAACACTGAATAAAATTTTCATACTTTAACTCGAGAAAAAAGAGTCGAAATTCATTTTCATTTTCAATTCTCTGTTCTTTTCATGATGAACATTTTCTCATTTTCTTTCATTGTAATACCTTTATTAAACAAGGTGACTTTACCAAAAAAGACTAGAGTTGATGAACAAAAAATAAGTTCATTGTTGCGCATTAATTAAAATGATTACCATTTTGCTTAAATTGTTTCTTCCTCTGATTTTAATCAAATCTTGAGTTTAATTGTTAATTAAAGTAAAAAAACTTGAAACCCAAAACAAGATTAATCCGGGAATCCGAGAAAAAAAGTTTTCTAATTAAATAAACTCAACTGCCAATGTTGGTTGATTAAAAGTGATTAGGAGTTAAACATGATTAAGCTTGTTATTTGGGTGAAGAAAATTTCAACTTTTTTTCAAGCTCAACAGATTTCAATTGAAAAATTGTGATTAACTTAGCATTCAATTAACGCCTTAACCCTGCTTTGCCTACCTTTAAATGCTTAACTAACATTTAATGCTCACGCAATTGCTTTCTCTTTCTTTTCTCTCTTTTCGCTTTTCTAACCCTTTAACTACTGCTGCTTACACCACTAACACCTTAACACCTGAAGGAGGTGATTTAACTCTGGAAACTAAATCAGATAGTAATTCCAAGAAGAACGTTGTTTCCTGGTTGAAAACAGTTTTTCCGAGTCAAGAAGATGCTAACTCGTTCCTTAAGATACAGATTGATAAGATGCAAGAGAGTCAACAGTCAGCGCCTACTTCACCCAATGTCACCTCAACCAGTTCACCGTCAGCATCAGCTTTCACTTCACCCAAGGAGTTGCAATCGGAGGCCAAATTGACTGAGGATAAGCCAACTTGATCTCTCAATCAAATTCAATAAGTACTCATAATAGACTCAAAGTGATTCAAAAAACTGAACCAAACCATGATTAACCATGATTAACATGATAACGATGTTTACAATGAAGGTGATGTTTACAATAGTCAAACATAAATCCAATACTTTAGTTGCATTGATATGAAAGTTGACTTTTTTTGCAATTTTAACCTTTAATGTTTGTTGTTGTTTGAAAAAGTTTACATTTTTTGTCGTTTCTTGTTTATCATTGTTACAATTGATGTGTTGATGAACAAGAAGAAAAATGAAAAAAAATTGTTTTCCTTTTTTTTACCTTTTCTCTGGTTTGTTTCATTCACTTACAAAGCACATTGTAACAATATTAAAAATTCCTGTTTTTCCCTTCTCTCATTGTTAATCTCATATCAACCAATGTTGATCTACCCATGATTAACATGATTTCACCCTGAGAATTGATCTCTGAACCATTCTCACTCTTGTTTCTTCTCTTTTTTTTCATTTACCTTTTTCCTGTTTTTTCTGTAAATATTACCTTCTTCCCTAATCCAATTGATCACTCTAATCTTGCTCTTCTAGTCATGACTTTTCAACCCGTAAACATTATCATTAAATTCAATTGTACAATAATTTCTGTTATTATAATTAATGCAAAGAGAAGAAAATCTTTTTCCCTTTTTTTTCTTCATAACTTTCATCTGAATCATGGCAAAGTCAACAAAAAAAAGGTAAATCTTTTTACCTCTCTTCATCAACTGCAATAAACGAAAAAGTATTTTCATCAAAACATTAATATCATTATTAACATTCTTATTGTTATCACAACCTTAAGCCGTGAGAAATGATAATTTCTCCTCCTTCTTTACTCATCTTCATCCTCCTTCAACTTTCAATCAATATGGTTGAGAACATGTAAAATGGTCATCACTTAAATTCTGATGATGACCACTTGTACTTCTTTCTTTCTCTTCTTCTTCTTCTTCTTCTTAACCTGAAACCAGTTTCAACTAAACTGCTGAATCTTCATTCCACTAATAATTCCTAGTCGTGATGTTATCTCTTCATTCATTCATCATCATCCTCATCATTATCAACAGAAAAAAAGCCAACTTGAAACACAGAATTACCTGTAAAGCACCAAAGAAACGATCTTTGTTCATGACTTTTTCACTCTTCTTCTTGACTTTACTGGTTTCCTCTGAACAATTCATGATAAAAGTGAAATGAACAGCCAAAGAAAAGGAACAATCTTTTTTCTTCTAAAAAAATGTTTCCATCTTTCCTCTTCATCTTCATCTTCTTCCTATTTTCACCGAAAAATCTTTTCCTATTCAGCCATCCTTAATCACCATTTTCCTTTTTTATTGTACAATTTAATCATCATTCATCATCAATCAATGACCAAAAGTATCAATCACAAGTTTCAATGTTGATATCAGACTAATTCAATTAATCAATTAAAGTGGTTTTATTTCACCGTCAACTAGTCAAATGACAATTAAATCTCAATCTTTTTCAATCAAAAGACACTTTGCCTTATGATAATTGAAAAATGATGTTACATTGGCTTTATCAAACTCCCAGTAACCCTTGCATTCTTTATGGGAACCAATGAATATTCAGATTCTCAGGAAAGCATAATCTCTTAGGAAACATTATTCAAGATGGTTGAGTCAATTTAATTGCTTACCTTATTCAGGAGCAAAAAGGATAAAAACAATTGAAAGGCAGAAAATGTGAAAGATAATATGGATGGATAAAGATGAAATTGAATGAAGATAAATGAATGAAGATGATTTAATAATTGTATGAACAGGTAATAGTTTTAATAGCTAGACAAATGCACATGTCTATCGATTTTCCTTTTCTTGGTTCTATTGATCACATCATGTTTCCATCACTTTCTCAGTTTCTTGCTCACAAATTCGTCAGTACAATTGCACCTTTATCAATTCATGGTTAACATGTTGTCTAGTTATGCAGACTAGACTATTTTTAAGAGTCATATTCAGTTCACCATCAGACTTATTCAATCAATTAAAGTGGTTTCATCTTCCCTTTCAATTTTAAATCTCATTTTACAACAATTCAGACATTTTCTTAGCAAAAGTATTTATAAAGTCCATTGATATTCATTGATATTCATTGATATAAAGTCCAAACTTCTTGTCAAAAGAAGTGGCTTTAGTGGTTACTTCTTGATGTAATCTTCTTTGGATTTGAATCTTCACCAAAACTAAGACTCACAGTTCAAATATGAAGCGTTCTCGAGATACATGATAACCATAAGAATTGGTTAAAACATCTTGTGCTACCAATTCTTGGCTCATGGATTCGAGGAAAACATAACTGCTTTGATGGATTCATAAAGACCAAAATCAAACTTGAACCTGGTTGTTGTGTGCTAACTATTGTTTGAGCTGAAAATTGCATTAAAATTAGCATCATAGTTATCAATCAATACTGTAGTTGAAAAGGGAAGAAACATTGTTTCAAAGATTCGAAATTCGGAAATCAATGAAGGCTTGAGCATGTTCAATAAATTTCTATGAAACAGGAAAATTTCATTTGAATTTGTGCAATTTTATTCGAAATCTTTCGAAAGTAGAAAATTGAATTTTTACTTTTTTTCGTTTCTCAAATCATAATTCGTTCTATCTTGTGATACCTAAAGGACAATCTTGTGCACATTCAGGCTTCTAAGATGGAAAATATTGAACCGATTTCGAAATGCAAAATTCCAAATTCCAAATTCCATAATAGTTATTCATGTTATGTAAACATTTGCATTTTATAAAAGCAAAAAAAGTAACCTGAACAGGAAAAAAGACGAAGGAATTAAATTTAATATCAAATGAACATTCATTGTTCATACGAGTATTCAATGTATTTTCTTGTGCATTTGGATTCAGGATCGTTTGTTTAATTTAAAGATTTTGCTATCAAATAAGGTTTCAATTTGTCTTTTCTTTCTCAGCTCTTTTCTCATCCTAATTGAAATTATTGAAATTGTTATTTCATTATTTACATTTAGAGTGAATGTTTCTAATTGTTCATCTGAAACCTTTCTTATTATATCCTAACATCCTGACAATATTGGCAAACACTTGAACATTGTAATTATACAATAAATGTATTACATTAATATTACATAAAAAAGTACAACATTGAGTTGCTTTTATCATCATCATTGCGTGTTCCTTGAAGAGTTGAAAAGTTCAATTGAAACACGCAAATAGACATGAAGAAAGGTCTAAAGATACATCAAGCTACATCCATTGACTATTCAACACATCTAATCACTTCTTCAACTCTGATGACATTTTCATTAAAATAACAGATGAAAATTTTCATATTCAATCATCTAGTATTATTAATATTCAGCTAAAAATATTACATTCATTAAAAAATTAATTTTGATGAAAATGAAAGCCATTAATGAGTTGAGTCAATTTGAGCAGTTTTTATTCAATTGAAGGATCCAATGGAAATGAAGAGAAATTAATGGAAAAATTGCTTTTTCTATCAGAAAGTTCTGCTAATAAAGTTTCAACCTTTGCAGGCCTTGTTAATTGGACTAATTAAATTGACGCTAAACTTGAAAGAGTGAATAAAACAATAAGATGAACAATGAGGAACCAAGTTTGATCAAGTTGCAAACAATTTTGTAGTTACAAAAAAATCTATTATTATTAACAAGAAAAGGTTGACCAAAGGGAGTGCTCTTCATGTTTCTCATCCTGCGGTTGAACAATAATCATTCAATCTGAATCTTGAATCTTGTTCAAAAGTGTTGTTTACTTTTGTTCAGCAAACACTAGAGCTGTTGTAAGCAATTGAAGGCGTTGTTTTCAGTGAAATACAAAAATGTTATTATCTCCATCATTACCATTATTATTGAACAACTTTCATCTTTTCTCATCAACTTTTTTCTTTTCTTCAACAAAATGATTCAACTTGAAAAATGGAGAGATTCTTTCCGTTAACACCTTCAAGCAACAATTATCTCATGATTGTTTTTTAATCTGCAATGTTTGTCTACACTGGTGTATAATGGAGACTCCGAATAAAAGTTCAGAAACAATTCAGGAGAAACAAAAGAAAAGGTTTTTTTCTCTCAAAATGTACAGATGAAAGTTTAAATCCTAGATTCGATTGATCTTTTATTTACAGGTGAACAGGCAATTTCGTTTTCTTTTTCGTTCAATGAAACCAGTAAATCAAAATTGCCTGACTCAATAACAGTTGAATCTCAAGAATTTATCACAATAATTCTGCAATCCTTGAGCTGATTATTTCTCAACCTTATTAGCTAATCAAGTTGAGCCAGAAAAGTCTGTCATTCCTTGAGTCTAATTAATTGTGAATAAAGTTGAACCTAGTCTTGCTTCTATTGACATCTAAGAACAAAAAATTTGCCAAGAAATAATTAATATCAACTTTGCAATTTCCTAGAGCTTAACACTCTTGACTTGCCAATCAATTGTTATTAATCCAATTTATATTCACTTTTTTTCATCTCACACAGAGCGACCCATCAGAGCGAAGCGAAAATGGTTTTTTGGACTTTTTTAATCAAAATGTAATTTAAAGTTGACGTTCAAAGTAAAGTTCAATCCATGGTGAGGAAAGGTGACGAAAAATCCAAGCATTGCTCATGTTCATCGAATGGATTCAAAGTTATTCTCTAATGATTAATAAAGATGTTTAATACAAGTAATGAGAAAATATTTAACCTTAAGCTTTGAATTTACTATTAAAGATATTTGTTATAAGTGTACTGTTGAATGTGTTGAGTTTATTTTTAAATCCATTCAAGTGTTGACTTTATCGAAGCATCAAATTGCACATTGGATTTAATTTGATTGACTGAGAGTGTAAATAATGGGTTGGAAATTATTTCAGTAAATATGAAAAGAAATTTTCACTTGAGCTTCTGATATCTGATCTGATGGATTATCATTAAAAGGTCAAGAAAAATGTTGATGAATACAATGGGATTGAGTTAAAGTCTTTGGTTGATTCAAAATTTTCCAGTAATTGTCTGTTTTCCTCTTCAACTAATCAATTCAATTGTCAAAGCGAAAAGAGGAAAAGACAATAAGGTGTGTCTAACGAGCAAATACAACAGTGAATTGCCTACAGGTAAAGAAGAGTCAGGTTGAGATGTTGAGAGTCAAGGAAAGGATAATTATTGTATGTTTCATGCTGACAGGGGATGGAAACACGCAATCAACTGAACCTTTGAAAGGTTAAGAAAAGGTAAAGTAGCAACCATGGGAATACATTGGAAATGAATGGAAACAAATTTGATTGAATACAATCAATAGCAAGGTCTAATGAACATGAAATTACATAAATCAAAGGCCGACTTCATTAGCATTTCAAAGGGCAAAAAAAGGTAAATCATGTTTTCCCAGTTTTGAAAAAGGTTGAGAAGAAGAAAAAAATTGTTTCAGGGAAAAATTGATTTTTAACTTGCAAATGAACTTATTTCCTCAGCTTTATGGCAATTTTATTCCCGTTATTTTTTGCTTTTTTTCTGGTTAATAATTGATTGTTTATTATGATGATGATAATGATGATGAATGTTTTGAATAAATGATATGTTTATGGTGAGAGTGGAACGGCTGACTCGACAAATGTGTGTTCCATAAATCAATGGCAACTCAAATTAAAGCTCATTTTTTGCACATTTTGTTTGTGATTTAATTTGATTCAATTGCAGTCGATGAAGTTTAATGAATTTGCTTTCAATCCTTTTTCATTTCAACTTTGCTAAAGATTGTTTACTGTACAATTATAACCTCTGGTTTATTTGAAAAGGTAAAGGTCAGTATTTAATTGTACCTCTGAGTATCTTTATTTATTTTGAGTCTTCTTGTTAACATTGTTTCAATTGAAGTTTGTTTTCGTTGCTTTTACAAGTTATTAGTTTTGCTGAAATGGTTTATGCTTTTATGCTTCTTACATCTTTTTATCTAATTTTAACAAATTCTCATCACTTTACCTTTATAATAGTTACCTTAGAGATACATGTACCTTTTACATCTCTTTGACTTTTACAGAAATGTTGAGCTCGAAATTCAATTTTATCTTTTCAGAGTAAATGGTTTCAAATTTTGTATGAATTTAGAATGAAATGAAATGAAAATATCTTCTTCGAGTTTTACGATAAAGGCATAGAGTTCGAGTAGGTAAAAGACGTTTATATTTCATTTTGAAATATAAAATTTCATTATTGTATGTCATTTCCATCGATAGGGAACATCAAACTGTTTCTCTTCAGTTTAATTTCAAGTAACTATCAAGATTGATTGATATTTTTGCATCAGCCAGTAACACCATCATGTGGAAAGAAAAGAAAATATTTATGAGTCTTGAATACAATGATATGAAATATCATTAAAATCTGAATATAAGATGAAAGTTTTGGCAATCTATTGGCAAGCGAACATAAAAATTCTGCTGATGTTTACGATACAGTTGAAGTAAAAATGTATCAACAGAAAATATTATCACGGTAAGTAAGAAACGTCTATTATGGCAAAACTCTTCAACGATAGTAATGTAATTGAATAGCCTAATATGGTTTGTAAGATATTTTCCCACCGATTGGTGATGTTAATCGAGCTTTAATTTTTGACTATATTTGTAACATGATTTGTACAGGGTTGGCCACATATTTCTGAACCATTTAATTATTAAATATCTTAAAAAGTAATCGACTTAGAAACAAAGTTTTTGGATTATCTTGTAGAACCGATTTCGGACATTAATTTAAGTATATTTAGGTGTTAAATATCAGAAATATAAGTTACTTAATTTTCAACCAAAGAAAAAGTAGCTTTGTAATGACAATTCCTATGGAAATGCTTTGTTTCATAACGAAAAAATTTCTACAATACCATGAAACTCATAGCATAGTCTATTAATTGAATAAAAATAAGTATCTATGGTTCAAAATAACATCTACTCAACAAAAGTTCAGTTCGATTGATAAGCGCAAGAAAATTATTCTTGACTTTTTCCTGGATATTGAAAAAGACTGAGTTGAGTTGAGACATGACTGATATCTAAAAATTGCTCAATTTTTTTAATTCGCAAAGTTTAACACTTTTGATATACATTGTATGAATTTCCCGAATTTGCGCTTCAATTTGATACTAAATTCATTTGAAAATATCTTTTCATTAATTAATTATACCTGATAAAACATGTTCAGAAATATATGGCCAACCCTGTATTAATGAAACCCCCTTTTCTGGTATATAACCATATGAGAATGATTGAAAACTCTTAAAGTGAACTGTATTGTACTCGGTATTGTTATCTCTAAACGTTGGTTAATCGTACATCGGGTAGTTGTCTTTTCTATTATATTAAATTAAAGTTTTCGAAGTATTTTCCTATCTTTGTATTACTGTAACCTTATTTATTAAACTTGGTGGCAGCGGTTGGATACGTTGTTCATTTACAATGAGTATAAAGGTGAAAAATAGGATTATAACCATTGGAATAGAAGAGTTTAGAACGGTGATGGAGTCGGTCATAGTTGCATCTCGGGTGATACCAGTACCAACTTTCGTGTGTTCGACAATGAATGTAAGTGATTGGATCGATGATTTCGAAGCAAAAACGAAACAAGCAGATTGGAATGATGATCGTCGTCTACAAAAAGTAAGAAATTTCCTTGAAGTGGACGTTGAATTATGGTATAATGTAACTTTTGAAAACCCTGTGACTCGACCTAAAGATTGGCAGGAATTCAAACAACGTATGATACGTGTTTATGCTCCCGTAGGACATCTAAGCAACAATGCCAGATTCTATAAAACTAGACAAGGAGAGAACGAAAATGTGATAACTTATTGTAGTAAAATGTTTTATTATGCCAAGCAAGCGAATAAAGATTTCCAAACTTTTGTAAGCACTTGTATTGAAGGATTCAGAAGGGAAATACTCAGAGAATTTTCCAGAAACAGAATTTCTGAGATCGAAACTTTTGATGACCTTATGGAAAGAGCTAGAATCGCAGAGGAAGACTCTCTGATAACCATTGATAATCCACCAATTCGCCCAGAGACGTGGGTTGCCGTGACGTACCTTTCAGATATGTGACTGATGCTTATGCTAATTCAACTGTCGAACCCTTTGTTAATTCAAAGATCAATCCTGCTTACGATCAACAAAAGTATAAAGGCGCGTCTCAAAGTAACAATAGTTCTACATTTGCCTCTGTAGTCAATGATAATCACCCTTCGCACACTAATATAGCATGTAATTACTGTCAAAAGGTGGGACATATTACAAAACAGTGTCGTAAGAAACAGCGTGATCAACAGAAACTACAAGCAAACACGGTCTGCTTGCAGAAAAACGTCGGAAAATCAATGGCTCCTCAATCAAATCAATTTCCTGCTGTAAATCAGCAATCTTCTCCAATGGATCTTCATGTATTACAACCTAATCTTAAATTTTAAATAAATTATGAATTTAACTATTGATTGTATTAAAAACCGAATCCTCCCAAAAGTAATGATATTGTAACTATTGCTAAATAAAAAATTTACTTTTTTGAACATTCAAAAGGTGAATACTTTATTCATACATACACTTGAATTAGATCATGAGTGAAACTCGCTTTCAGTATATATCTTGAATCTCTTGCATAGAACTTCCATAGCTAATTGTTGATATTAGAACAAGTTTATAGCTATATTATATAACAAGTTATCCACAATCTCTATTATATTTTATAACAAAAATGATCAAGAATATCAGAAATCCACTTGTTTTCATTTCAGCTTTGAGTTCGTGAAACATTTTATCACAGCTTTTAGGATGTAGAAACCCATTTTTAAACAGATCTTTACGAAAAATCGGTATCCAAAAAAATGACTTGTTCGAGGTCAAAAGTTGAAAATTTCCTTCGTCAATACTTAGATCTCAATCTCACAACGAAGGCTTTCTTTTCAATCTTAAGCTTTCCAAGAGTAAAATTCAAATAAATTCATATTGTATAATATCATGGATGGTTCAAAACGAGGTTCATAAGTGTCACTAAATGCGTTATCAATGAAATGAAAAGATATTCATCAATTATTTGTTACAAGATCATAAGATTACTTTATATACTAATCATTAGTTTCTCAATCAATATTCCGTGTATATCATGGAAACTAATGATTACCGAATCAAATAAAGATTGATTGAATATTGATATTTTCATGACATAACTTTCATGTACAGGGTGACAAATCATAACCGCGAGACTTTTTTTTTGATTTTAGCGCGAATAGTTGCAGCTAGCGACCCCAGGTTTTTTTCAAACATGTGTTCTCCTTCCGGGAAATTGTTTGCAACGGGTTTTGAAATTTCGAAAATTTTTCAATTTTCTATGGGATTTAACATGTAAAAATCGGCTATTTGAATTTAGCGCTTTTTCTGCGCTGCTAAGATACCAAATTTTCTGACTTTACTGGAAACGGACGTGTAAGGGCACATTTATCTTTTGTTTCTTCATCGTTTAAGCTTTCTTTGTGTTTTTTAAGTTTTAACTACCAAAGTGGTTGCATTAACAAGGAAATCAATGTGCTTACTACATTAAAGCTTACTATGTGCGTGGTGAGAGTTATGCTGATGCTTGTAGAGCAATGCGCTCTAAATGGAAGCATGTTGTTATGCCGCATTCGAGCACAATGAAAAGAGTAATCGACAAGTTTGAAAAAAAGGTGTTATAATGGATCTGCGAAAGCATCCTAAGCCATGCCCTGTTTTGACACCAGAAAACATCGAGGCAGTTAGGAAATACTTCGAGCAAAACCCGCGTGCTTCCATCAGGAAATCTGCTCCACTGTTGAACATGTCTAGAGAAACATTGAGGTACTGCTTGAGAAAAATTCTTCGGCTGTTTCCCTACAAAATTTCTACGGCTCAGCGCTTAACAGAGGCATCGAAATTAGCCCGAGAAACATTTTGTGGACAGATTTTAGGTGAAATCCATGGAGAGACGGCGCCTTTCAACAGAATCATCTTCACTGATGAAGCACATTTCTATCTGGATGGTTTCGTCAACCGACAAAATTATCGTTTTTGGGGAAGTGAACGCCCTGTATTCCAACTCGAGAAAAACCTCCATCCAGCTAAAGTGACATTCTGGGCTGCATTCACCATACATGGAGTTTTTCTTCACCACTTCACGGAAACTGTTAATTCTGAGCGGTACTGTAAGATGCTTACTGAGAAATGGATCCCTGTAGCTAGAGAGAAAGGTGTTATCGACGGCTGGTACTTCATGCAGGATGGTGCTCCACCTCACCGTACCAGAGATGCTTTCAATATTCTGCATCAACATTACGGTAACAGAGTGATTGCCTATGGTTTTCCAGACAAAATGGGTTGTGGAATTGATTGGCCACCTTACAGCCCGGATCTTACGCCATGTGACTATTACCTTTGGGGTTATTTGAAAGACGCAGCTTATCGAGCTGCTCCAAAAACCCTTGATGAACTTATTGCGTCCGTTTATTCATCATTATCAACAATAACACATGAAATACTCAACAAAGTTGTAGAAAATTTTGTCAAGAGGCTCGAATATTGCTATATGCAAAATGGAGGACATTTTGAGAAAATTTATCACTGATGTATCGTGTTTGTGCCTCAATAAATTTAAAAATTGAAATACTTGAAATTTTCATGTAAAATCCCATAGAAAATTGAAAAATTTTCGAAATTTCAAAACCAGTTGCAAACAATTTCCCGGAAGGAGAAAACATGTTTGAAAAAAACCTGGGGTCGCTAGCTGCAACTATTCGCGCTAAAATCAAAAAAAAAGTCTCGCGGTTATGATTTGTCACCCTGTAATTAACCAGAGCAAGTTTAGATCAAATATTTTCAATAGTTAATAAGCATAACAATGCCTCATTTCTTAATGATTAATTGCACCGGAGAAAATTCGCCTTTTGGTGTTTCTCGATGTTATTATTTGCGCTTTGAGTGAGTTTATTTTGAATAATAAAGAATCGTTGTAATCAAACGAAATTTCTAGTTGATTTACTCAACAAGTTTGTATTAATAATAACAAAAAAGGCTTCAATGTTATTAAACGCTTTTGCCTAATGCTTATGTTGATCGGTTATCAGGCAAGACCCAGCAATCAGGAATCGTAACCAAGTAATAATGATGTTTTCAATGTTATAAACCTTTATTTAATCACTGAATAAACAAATGTTAGTGGCCGAGGTCAATAAGAATTACGTTAATCACACTTGCAATTTGCAATAGTAAACTTTAATCGTTGAGACAAATCTACAGATCAGTTAAAATAAAAGCCTCAAATCAATTTGACTTCAGTACTAGTTTTCAACTTTCCCCAGTAATTTAACTTTCTTTTTCACTTTGTTAATTTAACAATAAACCATTCTCATCTCAATTGTAAACATGAAAGTTTCAAGTTTATCAATCACTTTACTCAGTGTTTTCAGTGTCGTTACCACTTCAACCGATGGTAAGGCATCAATGTTGGCTTGTAAAGTTTTGTTTGTAATCAATTTAATTTCGTTTTATATTCAGTAAAAGAACCAAATAGATATTTAAATGAGTTTGTTCAATTGGTTGGTGATCATGTGGAACAGTTAGAAAGAAACATTCCAGGTGAGATGAAAATAAGTGCTTTGTGTCCATAAATAAATCAACATTTATTTTCCAGGTTGGAGTGTTAATGGTACAATTGAACAAAATGTTGTCCAGTTTGTTGAAAAAGCTTTCACTTTCGGACCTTTTTCAGGTAAGAAATGGCAATCAAATTATTTTCTTTGACGATTTAATTTGAATAAATTCAGGGTTGGATCCATATGGAAATTTAAGGACAAGTATTGTAAACAATGTTGTTAGTTTGTTGAAATCAGAGCTTCCAGGTAAATTGTTTTATTGGTTCAATTCAACTTTATATTTACATTACAATGTTTTCAATGTTTTCATTTACCTCTTTTCTTGCAGGTTTTGATGAAACAAAGTCAGTTGGTCAAAATGTTGCCAATTTGACCAATGATTTATTTGCTAAATTGCCGTTTCCATGTGAGTATAAATGCTTAATCATCTTTTAATTAAATTTTACTTGATTGTTTTCTGTTTCATGCTTTAATTACTTTGTTAGATTTCCTGAAAAACAGAGTGAAAGAAATGTTGATTGAATCGGTTAACAATGGTCTTTCGGATATCAAAGATTCAGGTTTGAATCACTTCTGCTTTGAATTTGTTTATGCCTTGAATTATTCTTGTTATTCAATATTTATAAGCTTTGATTTCATCTTTCATTATCTAGGGCTTGGTGCTTCAAAGAGGGTTGATTCAGATCTACAAAACATTGTTAATAATTATCTGGACAGACTTGGAGGTGAGCATTCATTGCCGCACAATTTTACTTTTCATTGAAATTGTTTAACTAACAGTTATTGATAATAAAATATATTTGGCAGTTAAAGACGAATCTCTCGTGGATATTGTCAAAAAGATATTGGAAGCCTACAAAGGACATGGATTCGATCCGAAAAAAACTCTTAGAGACAACATTTCTGATATGATGAACGTCATGATGAACGAAACGCTTCAAATATTCGCACATCAACGTTGATAACTAACTTGGCAATCAGTATATTGAAGTGTTTATTGAGCGTTTGGATCAAATCGATATAACTATGTAATTGCACCAAAACCATAAAAACCTTAATAAGATGAATGTACTAGTAAATATTGTGACTAAACTAGATTTTGTAACGATTAAATAAGAGAAATTTAAATAAAACAATGTTATATTTTGGACAAACTTGACTAAAACAAAAATATCAGATGCAACATTCATTTAAATAAAAAACTTTGACTTTCAAGTTGAGAGTTGCGACGTTATGGATAAACTTGCCGTCCAACGGTTCGACAAGATTAACCAAATCAAGATGAAGGACTTGGAGAAGATTGTTGTAGAAGTTAGAGAAAAGCGAGACTTTGAGCCAGTTGTTCGGGGATTGACTAAGATCATTGAAGAAACGCTTAGCCCAATTCTCTGCTGGCATCAAGACCAATGGTATCATCCTCTTCTACTGGAATAGTGTCACAAGCCCATGTCAAACCGCGAGAATCTCTTAGACGAATCATCATTGAGAATGCAGGAACCTTTAGCTTCTGGTCTTCGATACAAACATGAAGGATCATTTATTCATGGTAACTAAGCTTCACTCAAATCTCAAGCAACCGCTGCTAAAACGCGTTATTGATCTTTCTCACAACTTTTGCATTCGTTTACGAATTAATTCTCGCTAAGACTATTACCAGTTAAATCACTAAGAGGATTGTTTCTAAAAAGACACAACTAACACAATTGCAACATTTATGCACAAGTTGACACAAATACTGGGAATAAAATGGGCAAAAACAGGTTAAAATGAATTTCTTTCTCATTTAGATGCTGTAGGCTTGTAAGGGGATGAAAACTGAGTCCATTTACATGATTTAAAAGTTTTTCCGATCTGCAATTGTCGAGAAAATTGCGCTTGAAGCTCAAACTTCGATTGCCTTTTGTACGATTATGGAAGCAAATTTTTTCATAAAACTTATTTTTATTGATGTAACTTTTGATAAACAACCATAAAATGACCTTATTTTGATAAATAAAGTTTTATATTTTCTGTAAAACATCTCAGTTCGATTTTTATTCAAACCGACTTATTTCTGTGACCGAAATAGTTAGAGAGCTGAAACTTATTGTTACACCATAAAAGTTGTTGGCTAATATCATGGGCTGAATACTTGTCTCAATTTTTTATTGGCTCTCTTGATTTTGGCCATTGGCCTGAAAAATTTGAACCTCATTATTTCGAGAATGGCATCACCTACAGTCACCATTCTTCAGCCAAACATTAGATTGCACTATTGACTATAACTTAATAAGACTTAATTTCTAAAAAAATCTTATCTGATTTATTTAATAATGAATATCCTTTCAACACATAAGATTTGTGTTTTAATAACCATTTAACTTTAGAAATCTTGCTCAAATCTGGTAACATAGCTAAAACAATGTTTTAAAATTTTTGTAGCGAATTGAAAAATTTAATATTCTAGGAAATTATCACACATAATAAAAGCTAATGTTTGGTCAAAGAATAATCATTGTAGGTGATGCCATTCTCGAAATAATGACGTTCAAATTTTTCAGGCTAATGACCAAAATTGAGAGAATTATCAATAAATTGAAAAAATGTTTTTGTCCACTGCATTTATGAACAATTTTTATGGGTTTACAATAAGTTTCAGCTCTCTAACTATTATTGTCACAGAAAGAAGTCGGTTTAACTGAAAATCGAACTAATCAATTTGTTTAGCGATAGAAAATTTTATTTATCGAAATAAGTCCATTTTATTGTTTTTTATTAAAAGTTACATCAATAAGAACAAGTTTCATGAAAAAATCTGTCTCCATAATTGCATAAAATGCGATCGAAGTTTCAGCTTCAAGCGCGATTTTCTGGCAGATTGTAGACCAGAAAAACTTTTAAAGCATGCGAATGGACTCAGTTTTTATCCCCTTACAAACCTACAGCACCTTAATTTGATAGAAATTCATTTTAACCCGTTTTTGCCCATTTTTCTCTCAGTATTTGTGCCAATTTGTGCATAAATGTTATTATTGTGTTAGTTGTGTCTTTTTAGAAACAATTCACTAAAATGATTGTCAACTTCAATGTTGTTATAGATGGACTTCATTCTCTGACTCTATCTGGTCTTGAAATGAATTCCTTTCAAATTTAGATGCTGTAGGTTTGTAAAGGGATCAAAATTGAGTTCATTTGAGTGATTTAAAAGTTTTTCCGGTCTGCAATTGTAGAGAAAATCGCGCTTGAAGCTCAAACTTCGATTGCCTTTTGTACGATTATGGAAGCCAATTTTTTCATGAAACTTATTTTTATCGATGTAACTTTTAATAAACCACCAGAAAATGGACTTATTTTGATAAATAAAATTTTCTATCGCTAAACAAATTGATTAGTTCGATTTTCACTTAAACCGACTTCTTTCTGTGACAATAATAGTTAGAGAGCTGAAACTTATTGTAAGCCCATAAAAATTGTTTATACACACCATGGATTGAATCATTTTTTAAATTTTTCATCAGTTCTCGCTATCTTGGCCATTGGTTCGAAAACTTTGAAACTCAATATTTCGAGAATGGCATCACTTACAATCACCAGCCTTTGAGCAAAAATTAGATTCTATTATGGACTATAATCTATAATAATGTTGGATGATTGCAGACTGAATAGATAGAGATATAGCACTGTAACACTTATGCTGCCAAATATGATTTTTGTTTTGCAAAGGTAAATTTTACTTATTATGTGTTATAAGAATATTTATTAATAGATTAATTATCTCAGATTTTCTTCAAGATTAAATCATATATTGTTATAACCCATGATAAAATCTAATGTTCAGTCATGGAATGGTGATTGTAGGTGCTACCCATATCGAAATAATGAGGCTAAAAGTTTTAAAGCCAATGGCCAAAATAAAGAGAATTGATGAAAAATTTATAAAAATAATCAACCCATTGTTTGCACTAACAATTTTTATGGGCTTACAATAAGTTTCAGCTCTCTAACTATTTCGGTCACACAAATAAGTCGGTTTGAATAAAAATCGAACTGATCTGTTTTACAGAAAATATAAAACTTTATTTATCAAAATAAGGTCATTTTATGGTTGTTGATCAAAAGTTACATCAATTAAAATAAGTTTCTTGAAGAAATTGGCTTCCATAATCGTACAAAAGGCAATCGAAGTTTGAGCTTCAAGCGCGATTTTCTCTACAATTGCAGACCGGACAAACTTTTAACTCACGTAAATGGACTCAGTTTTCATCCCCTTACAAGCCTACAGCATCTGAATTCAAAAGAAATTCATTTTAACCCGTTTTTGCCCATTTTATTCCCAGTATTTGTGTCAACTTGCGCATAAATGTTATTATTGTGTTAGTTGTGTCTTTTTAGAAGCAATGCTTTTAGTGATTTAGCTAGTAATATAACCAATGCAAAAGTTTTGAGAAAGATCAATAACGCGTTTTAGCAGCGGTTGCTTGAGTGAAGCTTTGATGCCATGAATAAATGATCCTTCATGTTTGTATCGGAGGGCAAGACCAGAAGCTAAAGGTTTCTGTAGCTAAAGCTAAATGATTCGTCTGAGAGATTCTCGTGGTTTGAGAGGGGCTTGTGACACTATTCCAGTAGAAGAGGATGATACCATTGGTCTTGATACAAACAGAGAATTGGCCTGATCGTTGGATTTCTTCAATGATCTTAGTCAATTCCCGAACAAGTGGCTCAAAGTCTCGCTTTTCTCTAACTTCTTCAACGATCTTCTCCAAGTCCTTCATCTGGATTTGGTTAATCTTGTCGAACAATTGGACGGCAAGTTTATCCATACCTTCTTGACGAAGACCTAATTCGAAGTTGAGTTGGTTAGCTTGTTGAGGGCAATAGATGAGTTCAAAACAGCCCAGGATGGCATTTTTTTCTATTGTCAACAATTGAATCAATTTCGTAGTTGAAACCAATTTTACCTAAGAGCGGGAATTTTTGTAGTGAATGGAAGAAAAAGCGCCAAAAGGCAAAGAAGGAAACAAGTTTGTTTAAAGTTGTTAACCAGAGGACATTTAAACTTGGTGTTCACCAGATCTTTTAATCTTTGTCGTGTCATACTGTTTTTAACATTGTTTCTTGCCCTTTTAAACTTGATTTGTTAAACTAGTGATTTCATTTGACAAACTCTGCAATCTCCATTGTGTTTTATATGGCTACATCAGTGCGAAAAACCAGAAAAGATGCAATTAGCAAAACACCAACAAGGAAGACAACTAAGACGCCAACCAGGACACCGAACAGGACTCCGACCAAGACACCAACTAAGACACCATCTAAAACACCGACTCGACAAACAAAACTGTCAGAAAGTAAAAGTGCCAGAAAAACAAGGACACCGAAGTCATCTCTAGCATTGAAGAAGAAAAGTGAAGAGGATATAATTTCCAAGTGCAGAACGATAGATAGTTATTTCCAAAAGAAACTCAAAAATCCTACGCGAATAGAACCCAAAAAACTGACCAAGATCTTTGACGATGTAGCCCGAATTGAAGAAGGACCATTGAAAGGATTACCATCAAGCTTGCTGGAAAAAATTAAAATCAAAAAGCCTGATGACGAGCAAACAGAAAGGAAAAAATTACTACAGAAGCTACCAGAAATGTTGAAAATAGTTCATCTTTATTTTTTGACTAGTCCAAAGCCCATTAAGTTGGAAACTCTAAGTGAAAAAGTGCTCGATTCATACTATACCTATATTTCAACCGCAGATATCGAAAAGCAAATCAAAACGATTTGTGAGGTGCTTCCTGAATGGGTGACGATGGTGAATTTGCGAGGAGTTAATTATATAAAGCCTATTGATAAAACTTTGACTCTCAACCATTTAACTGAGAAAATCGCGAAACTAATCAATTCTTAACTTGAATTAGATTGCTTTAATATTACATGCAAGTCTTTGCTTCCTGTTTTAATTAGCAAATCAGATCAAATTGTAAATTCATAATTTTTTATCAACTTGTAATTTAAAGAATCTGAGATCACTTAGATTCAAATCTGCTACAATTCAACTGTGAAGACTATCAACTTCTGTGATATATTATTTTCATTGAATCTTTAATGAAAAAAAGTTTTTCATTTTTATTGAAAACGATATTTGTAATAAAATGAACAAAATTACCAAAAACGTCTTGAATATTGAACAATAATTGAAATACAAAGCTTTGGTTTTTTTGTATGAAATATGGAAGGTTTATTATTATTAATTTATTTAATGTTTTTTATGTGATGAAATGAAATACATGGTAAATGATAAGTGATGATAATAGATGATTTAATAATTTATATTAAATCAGCGACATTCATAGGCATTTCGTCAATTTGTGTACTGTAATATTGTTCGATATCTCTAAGGATTCGAATATCATCATTTTTAACAAAATTAATGGCAACACCTTTTCTACCAAATCGTCCTGATCTACCAATTCTGTGAATATAAAGTTCTCTGTTATTTGGTAAATCATAATTTATCACAAGAGACACTTGTTGTACATCGATACCTCGAGCCCAAACATCAGTAGTTATCAATACACGAGTCTGTCCAGATCGAAATTCTTTCATTATAGCATCTCTTTCTTTTTGTGGCATATCACCATGCATTGATGAGACAGTGAAATTTGCTTCTCTCATTTTCTCGGTTAACCAATCAACCTTTCTTTTGGTATTACAAAATATAACAGCTTGGGTAATGGTCAATGTGTCGTACAAATCACACAAAGTATCAAATTTCCATTCTTCTCGTTCAACGGCAACAAAAAATTGCTTTATACCTTCCAAAGTAAGTTCATCACGTTTAACCAAAATACGTATTGGATCAGTCATAAATTTACTTGTCATTTCCAGAATTTCATGTGGTAATGTAGCCGAAACAAGTACAACTTGGGTAAAAGGTGGTAAATATCTGTATACATCATAAATTTGCTCCTTAAATCCTTTATTTAACATCTCATCTGCTTCATCAAGGACCAACATTTTTATTGATCGTGTTCGTAAATTACGTCTTTTTATCATGTCAAAAACACGACCAGGAGTACCAGAAACAACATGTTGACCATAATCCAATTTTCTTATATCCTCACCAAGATTTGTACCACCAATACATGCATGACATTGGACATTCATATAATCTCCAAGTGCAAGAATTACTTTCTGAATTTGTACAGCCAATTCTCTTGTTGGACTTAATATCAAAACTTGTGTCTCTCTTATTTGGGTATCAATTGTTTGAAGTATTCCAATGGAAAAGGTAGCTGTTTTACCAGTACCAGATTGAGCTTGACTAATTACATCTCGACCTTTTATAATTGGTTTAATGGCTCTCTGTTGAATTGCTGAAGGTTTCTCAAATCCATAAGCATATATACCACGAAGAAGATCTTGTCTTAATCCCATTCCATCAAATGTAGGTATAACCTCGACATCTTCACTTGTCTCAAATTCAATATGAGATAAATCCTCTGGCAATTCTTGTTTAGATCTACCACTTGAAGAAGCCATCATCGCACAAGATATAACTTGATTCACCGATCACAATTCAAAAATAATATGCAAGAAGATAATTTCAACTTGAGTGTGTGTTTCAAAAGCACTAAAATTAAATAAAGATGGTTACAATTTATACTTTTGTACCTTGTTTTTAAAGAGTTTCAACCAACAAAAATTAAACTGCTTAAGATTTTTCATGCCTTACGCCTGCGTATTTCACTAGATTATTCGCTAGATGGAGCTAAAACTCAAATAAATACACACTCAAAAAGCGCTACTTACAAATATTTTTACTTGGTAATTCATTTTATATTGTTTTTCGATTCACTTACAATTTCTACAAATTCCAACAATTATTATCAATTACTTATTCTGAGTTTTCGTTTTATCCTTTACAATACAGTTTTATCACCATAAAATCTTATAACATTCAAAAAAATATACTTGAATAAACCGCGAGTGTTTCTAATAATATGTGATTGTAATTGGCGGTTTCACAAACGAAGAGCCTTTACATTGTTTCACCAGAGATTATCATAAGGTAATATACTTTGTTATTCTTGTTTTGATTTTCTTCATGTTTAATAGCTATTTTTTTCTTTAATTATAGATAACTATTATAGTATTGTTTTTTATATGTCCACGACAAACCAAATTACATTGGTCATAAGCAATGGAGAGAACTTTAAAGGATAATATTGACAATTCTTCAAGTCGACAAAGTAATGGATCATCACAATCTCGCATTTCTCGTAAAAACCAACTACAATTGGAATCTAAATACAAGCTGATGAATGACGAGATACGACGACTAAAAGAATCTGGAATAAATTCAAAGGAAGTGACAGAGAAATCAAAATTACTTAAAAAGAAACTAAAGCTAGCCAATGAACTCTCAAAGACCGCTTTTGATTCCGGATCTCAAAGATGTATTGAATATGATGCTGAATACTTTTTTAATGGATCTGAAGTTAATCATCTTGTTGTTAAATCACTTCAAGTTGACAGTCAAGCCTTTGATCCTTTGTTTTTTGCTGAAAAACTAAGGACTTATATTGCACCAGATACAAGAATAAGGTTTGTATTTTGTTTATTATACCATATTCAATCTTATGTTTATTTTATCAACATTTCAATACAATATTTGTTTCTTTTCTTGTTTTTTTTCAAATTTATATTCAGAGATGATACAATTGACGAAAATGAACTTAAAATTGAAGACTTTGTTGATCTTGGAAAGAAATGTGCTTATTTAACCAACTCTGCGCCAATACTCAATTATTTATATGGATCATTTGACCCAGGTGAAGTTATTATACCAACTAAACAAAGACGAGTTGGTATCCGTA